TTCACTTAAGAAACAAATGCTGTTATCTTAATAAATTTTACAATATAATTCTGTCATTTTCATTTTAAAGTTGTTTAATTGATTCTTTGATATTCTTTTCAGAAAAAGTATAAAGAAAAGGATTTAGGGACTATTTACTGCACGAGATGTTTAAAGAAATCTAAACATAAGACACAATCAGATGATTCAGGTACAAGTGACAAGGCGAATAAAATTAAAAAATCAAATAGAAATAGAAAACGTAAACAATTACTGGATCGTAACGATAAATAACCTATTTTATTATTCCCATACTAAACACGAACTAAAAAAGTATTATATAAATTTATTAGTAAAGTATATAAAAGATACAAAATCTATTGATGATGAAATAGAGAATGGTAGACAAGTAGATTTTTAATTTAGTAATCTAAGATTTAAAAGATATAATTATTTATATAAATTTATTTTCTTATCTCTCAAAAGCAAACGGATGAAATTGAAGAAATATCAGCACAATCAGATACAAATAGGGTAAGACGTTATAATTAGAATTCAACAAACAAAGGTTACTAAAATCCAAAATTGAATTACAAAGACAATTTTAAAAAGGTATCACTTCAAAATCTCAAAGTAACCGATGGTATTATGAATAATACTGAAGAGTCAATCAATGATTATGAAGACGGTGAAAAACAAGTAAGGAATTTGTTGGGTTCATTTTCGCCTTTTTTTTAATTTATTTAGTGTTTGAACCATAACGGGGGAAAAAATTTCCATAGAAAATGATTGTTTTTGATTTTTTTTTAAATAAAAATATCAAAATCGCAACTTTGAATCTTTTGTCGATCACTAACAATACGAGCAGACAAAAGATTTAAAGTTACATTTTTGATGTTTTTATTAGAAATATATCAAAATCAACAACTTTGCATAAAATTAAGTCCTTCGCTATGCTTCAAACAATATAAATAAATTAAAAAAGAGGCGTTGTTACTTTAAAGAGTATGCTAAAATGAACCCAACAAATATAATTTTATTTGTTCGGGTTTAGTTATTGCAATCTAAATTTTATATGTTTTTACTATTTACGCTACCACTACGCTAATTATAAAAAAATTGATTAATGATTATCACTATATGACCTGCACTATGTTTGTAAATAGACTTGCATGATACACCCTAGTAATGAATGTATCTGTGTATAAAAGCTTGTCGGACTCAGTCCTTGAGTCGATTAGACAGGAACTTTTTAGGACCGACTCAAAGTCGACTTCAAGCAAAGTCCGAATGTAGGGGTCTGCATATCTTTTGTCTCGGAAATTGGTCATTTTGATTGGCTAGCTTATGTTGATCCATACACGATTACTTCGTGAATATTAATTCTGCGCGGAGGGACTATCGTATTATCGTATTGGTAAATCACATGCAAACTTGATTCAAGGATCGACTCAAGGATCGAGTCCTGATCAAAGTCCCTATTTGAGGAGTCCGGACGGATAGGTTCGGACTTTTAACAACCCTATACATATTAGAGCGTGTATCAACGATTATTATATTGAATGAACAATAGAATAATCATCAATACCACGTAATTTGGATAATCTTATTCATTTAAATGTTTTAATGTAATTATTAAAGTTTCTTGCATAAATAGTGAAATAATTTAAAAGTTTCAAATTTTTATGCTATTACAATAAAAATTTTTATGCCTCCCATGTCTATTGTTTCTCGCTCATTATAGATCTTCAGAAAATTATTTTGATATTCAAGTTAGGGTGTGACTGGTGTCAGACATGTGATTTTGAAACAATTGTTCAAGGATGGTCAAATAGAAATAAAGATGTTAATAATAGTATTAAAGAACTTATTAAAGAATTTCAGCGCAACACTATATCATATGATAAAGTAGTTGATTGGATTCCATTTAATAGACTACGTAATATTCAAAATATTGGGCAAGGAGGTTATGGATTTGTATTTTCAGCAATTTGGTTGAATGGTATATGAGTAACCAAATATGATCCTAGTAAAAAAACCTATGTAAGGTTACGTAAAAAACCATCTGCAGTTGCACTCAAAACCTTGCCTAATTCTCAGAAACTTTCTGAATGTTTAAAAGAAGTAAGTTAAATTTATTTTTTATCATCAATTTAAATAACATCAGAAAATTTTTAAATTGGTTGGCAATCGATTGACAGATGGAAATGTCAATCGATAAGTCGATTGCCAGCGATACAGATTAGAATCGATTAAAGCTGATTAAAATCGATTAATATTGATTAGTATCGCTTGATTTATTGCGGTTTGCAAAATTATGTGATATTTGTAAAAATT